CGATTCAGTTGGTCTGTGGTGAAATCCAAGACTCCAGTTCTAACAAGCTCCAGGTGATTCAGAAGCTGCTATTTTCTGGACCACACTATGTATAGCAAGGGTAAAGACTAGAGTAGTGCTATTCAATGAGACTTTCAGTGATGATGGAAATAATTTTATCTATAATATATCTGTGTTGTCCAATATGGCAGCCACTAGCCACATATGGTTATTTAAATGTTGTGAGTACAACTAAGGAATGGAATTTTAGTGTGCATCTAATTTTAATTAATTTTAATCAAAAATTAAATGGCCACACCACTTGTGGCTAATGGCTACCATATTGGACAACACATGTCTAGAAGACTCTGGGGCAGTTAGAAGCAATGAACTAGATGAGCAAATGATGCAGACAGATTGTTAAAAGATTATTTGATGAAATCACACCACCTATTTAATACTACAACCTGACTTCTCATCTACACTTGTCTTCCTTCACACACTATTTAACTGAATGTAAAATACTGTTGATTATATTTGCACTGTTATTTTGTAGACCACTCAGAAAGAAAAAGAAGTTTTCAATTAAGTTATGACATGATGCTAAGACATCATGCTGAATCAAGATGTAAGATGCCTCCTAATTACAGAGATGTTAAATGTGAAAAGAATGTGTCTTTAAATCAATAAAATATCATCCTCAACCACCACAGCTGGAACTTTGAGTTACAAAAAAGATTAAAGTAATCTTTAAACTATTTTTACTTGGCTTTATAGAAGGATGCCGGATGAGAATGATAGCATGTGCTATATCATCTCACTGAGGGCCCAAATCTACCCTAGTACACAGCTTCTTTGGTCTCCTTTTTCCTATAGGATGTGTATGGGTACTACATATTAAATCTACAGTATGTGTTTATCACCTTGACACCTTGACACCTTACACAGGAGGTGCAACCTCAGATAAGGACAAACTCAGATAAGGACACTATAAAAAAAGAAAATTTTAGGCCAATATCTCTGATGAATATAGATGCAAAAATTCTCAAGAAAACAATAGCAAACTAAATTCAGTAACATATTTAAAACACCATACACCAGATCAAATGGGATTTATCCCTGGGATGTAAAGATGTTTAAACATGCACAAATCACTAAGCATGATATACCTCAACAGAATGAAGGATAAAAATTATATTGATCATCTTATAAGTACAGAAAAATCATTTGGCAAAATACAACATCCTTTCATGATAAAGACAGTCAACAAATTAGGTATAGAGAGAATGGCCTCAGACAATAAAGGCCATGTATGACAAGCCTATACAGCTAACATCATACTCAGTGGTGAAAACTTGAAAGCTTTTCCCTCAAGATCAGGAACAAGACAAGGATGCCCAGTCTAGCCATTTCTATTCAACATTAGCACTAGAAGTCCTAGCCATAGTAACTAGGCATGAAAAAGAATAAAAGACATTCAGATCAGAAAGAAAGAAGTAAAATTGTCTCTTTGCAGATGACATCATCTTATGTGTAGAAAATCATGAAGAGTCCACCAAAAAACTGTCAGAAGTAATAAATAAATGAAGTAACGTTGCAAGATACAAAATTTGGTTGTGTGTCTACAAACAATGCATTATCAGAAAAGAAATTGAGAAAACAATTCCATTTACAATAGCATCAGAAAAAATAAAATGCTTAAAAATAAACTTAACCAAGGAAGTAAATATTCTGTACACAAAAAAATCATAAAAAGTTGATAAAAAAAAAACTTCAACATGACATAAAGAAATGGAAAGATATCCTATATTCGTGAATTGGAAGAAATGATACTGTTAAAATGTCAGTACGAACCAAAACTATCTACATTTCCGTTGCAATCCCTATCAAAATTCCAATGGCATTTTTTCTCAGGAATAGAAAAAATAATACTAAAATACATATGGAACCATGAAAGACTCTACAATCTCGAGCAAGAAGAACAAAGCTGGAGGCATCATACTGTCTGATTTCAAAACATACTACAAAGCTACAGCAACCAAAACAGCATGATACTGGCACAAAAAAAGGCATGTAACCAATGAAACAGGATAGAGCGCTCGGAAACAAATCCACACATTTACTGCCAACTGATCTTTAACCAGAAGGAAAAGGATAGTCTCTTTAACAAAAGCTGTTGAAAAAACTGGATACCCACAAAGAGAAGAATAAAACTGGACTCCTATTTCATGCCATGTACAAAAATGAACTCAAAATGGGTTGAAGATTTAGATATAAAACCTAAAATTGTAAAATGACCAGAACAAGACATGGGGAAAAAACTTCTTGACATTTGTCTGGGCAATGATATTTTAGATATGACCTCCAAAGCACAGAAAACAAAAGTAAAAACAAACGAGATTTTATCAAATTGAAAAGCTTCTGTGCACCAAAGGAAACAACCAAGAGAGTGAAAAGACAGCATACCGAATGGGAGAAAATATTTGCAGATGATGTATCTGATAAAGGGTCAATATCAAAGATATATAAGGAATGCAAAAACTCAACACCCAGAAAACCAATAAAAATGGGCAAAGGGTCTAGCCAGTGGCTCAAACCTGTAATCCTAAGACTTTGGAATGCTGAGGCGGGTTGATCAACTGAGGACAGAAGTTCGAGACCAGCCTGACCAACATGGTGAAACCCCATCTCTACTAAAAATACAAAAATTAGCGTGGTGGCGAGCACCTGTAATCCCAGCTGCTTCAGGGGCTGAGGCAGGAGAATTGCTTGAACCCAAGAGGTGGAGATTGCAGTGAGCTGAGCTTGTGCCACTGCGCTCCAGCGTGGGCGACAGGGAGAGACTCTGTCTCAAAAAAAAAAAAAAAGAAAAAAAAAAAGAGGCCGGGCGCGGTGGCTCAAGCCTGTAATCCCAGCACTTTGGGAGGCCGAGGCGGGTGGATCACGAGGTCAAGAGATCGAGACCATCCTGGTCAACA